GGAACCCCTCAAATAATATAGGTAATTATTGAGGCTCCTACGTTACACCCCAAATCTAAGCCCGACGCCCTACACCCTAAACCCTAAAACCCTAAACCCTAAAGCCCTAACCCTAAACCCGAATCATCAGGTCCTGTGCCCTGAACCTAAACCGCTTTGGGCCCTTCCCTAAGGGTCCAGGTACCCAAATAGTATATACTTTGGCCCCAAGGTACCTACATAGGGACTACTTTGGCCAACGTACATACTGTTTGGGCCCTAAACCCTAAACCCTAAACCCTAAACCCTAAACCCTAAAGCCCTAAGCCCTAAACCCTAAACCCTTGGGGCTTTAGGGGATCTCTGCCTGCCAAACCCACGAGGTGTTCACGTGGACCTTGCAGCCTGCCGCAGGGTCTTAGGGCTTGGGCTTCGGGGCTTAGGGTTGAAGTTTTGGGGTTTAGGGCTTCGGGTTGAAGTTTTGGGGTTAAGGGCTTCGGGTTGAAGTTTTGGGGTTTAGGGCTTCGGGTTGAAGTTTTGGGGTTTAGGGCTTCGGGTTGAAGTTTTGCGGTTCAGGGCTTCGGGTGGAAGTTTTGGGGTTTAGGGCTTCGGGTTGAAGTTTTGGGGTTTAGGGCTTCGGGTTGAAGTTTTAGAGTTTAGGGCTTAGGGTTGAAGTTGCAGGGTGTACGTACGGTTGAAGGCTCTGGAATGAAAACCTACTTTTCTGTGCTTTGCAAGAACCTAGACGCCGAAACTCACACCTCCCCCTAAGTTTCAGCACGCCCTTCCCCACTCCAAACCCGGAGAAAGATGGCACAAACAGCAAAAACATCCATCACAGCTGTAGGGAGCAGTGGACTTGCGGTTTTTGTGTGCCTAGTCCGTGGATGTAAATGCGCCAGTTTTTGGAAGTTCTCTTGACTACGACTGTCACGATCAAGAAACATCAACACCAATACCAGTGGCACTGAGATTGTGTTTACTGTTACTTGTGTTGGTACAAACAACAATTTTCATTGGCCTCCTCCCCATCCTCCTCCTCATCTTCTTCACCATCATCGTTGCTAAAACAAAGCCGCCACCATTATAAACGATTCCTCAGCAACTGCAGCAGCAGCAGCAGCTGCAGCAGCAGCAGCAGCATCACCACCACAACATGCCCTAGAGCTTAATGGGTTTTTATCGGGGCTGCAAACCTCAGCTCAGGAGCTCGAAATTCCATGCCTGAGTGCATTAAAACCTTCAAGGGGTCGGTGATTCGGCTGTATAGGGTTTATTATGAAATGCTGCCGTGTACTAACTAAAGTATACCATCATGCACTAGGACTTCCTATAACTCAGGGCTTAGGCTTAAGATCGGGTACCTGAAACCCTGACTGAACCCTCGCATGAAGGTAGCTGGGGCAAACCCGACCCAGAGCCCCAAATCCTAAACCCTATACCCAAAACCATTCGAGGGATACAAGCAGCAGCAGCAGCAGTCCCTAAGGTTCCATGTGCTTGGCTCCTTGAAGGGTTGTTTTAGGGGGATCTTTAAGTGGGTATATTATGGGTTTCGGGTTCAGGGTTTGAGGGTCCATGCACCCAAAGTATATACCTAGGATAAAGTAGCTACATAGGAACGCCTTTAAGGCATAAGTAAGTACTAGATAGGCACATGGAGCCCCAGGGAGTAGCAAAGGAGTGGTAGTAGTAGTAGCAGTCGTAGTAGTCGTAGTAGTAGTAGTAGTAGTAGTAGTAGTAGTAGTAGGAGTAGTAGGAGTAGTAGGAGTAGTAGTAATGGTGGAAGGAAATGTTCTTGACACAGTTCAAAACCAGCTCAAATCTTCATTGTCAGCCAGTACCAGCTCTAGTCCCAGTACCCTCGGCACCGGTATCCAAAGCCCTAAACCATTAATCCGAACCCCGCCCCCTCCCCAACAATTAAAAAGAGCATTCCCGGAGAACCCAGTACCCCTTAATTAAGGAATAAACTCGTAATTTAATATTATTAAAACCCCTAGAATTTCAGGTATATTCCTTAGTTAGAATTTAAGGCATATTCCTTAATTAAGATCAAAGAATATACCTTAAATTATAGAGGCCTTATTATTATGATTTAAGGTATATTCCTTAATTAAGGTGTATTGGGTTCTCTGTTCGACTCCCCGCCTCGTAGGATCAGCTCCATGTCCTGCTGCCAGCGGTTGCCTGCAGATGCAGCGAAGAAGACCCAAAACTGACCGAGGGTCGATTATGTAAAAAAATATCTAGTACTTACCTTTGCCTTAAAGGGGTTCCTATATAGTTGCTTTAAGGCCTAGATATATACTGTTTGGGGGGAAGGATTCCTTTAAAGGGTTAAGTGTTGAGGTTTGATGATGTAAGAGAGGGGCCTTTTTCAATAAGTAAAGGGGGGTTTATAGTTTAGGGTCTAGGGGTCCTCTTCCGTAGAGTTGGGTTCTTCTAAAGGACTTATTTCTGGGGTCGATAATGAGGGAAAGGAGGTTTAGGGTTCAGGGCCAGAATCAGTAGAATAGGGTTCCTTGAAGGGGCTGCCTCCCATAAGAGGATTCCTGCTTGGTGGATTTGCAGGTTCTATCAAGGTTTCTACAAGGTTTAAGGATTCCTCTGAGTTGTAGGGCTCCGTTAAAGGTTCCTTTAAAGATTTTGGGTTTAGGGTTCCTTTTAGGGTCCTTTTAGGGTCCCTTTGGGGTTCCAGTCAGGGTTGCGTGCAAGGATTTGAGGCGTGAAAGGCTCTTAATAAACTGAACCCTTTAAACTTAATGGTTTAGGGTATCGAGGCCACAATAGTAGAATAGGGCTCCCTTTAGGGATTTATAAGGGTCTTTATAAGGGTTGCTGAAAGGGCTCTAACACGGAGGCCGTAGTAAGGTAGAACTAGGTTACCCTCTCACGGGTTGAACAAGGCTTTCGGGGAAATAATAGTTTAGTTTGCTTACCATGAGAAGGAGCTATCGCACCCGTCTTGGGTTTGCAGGCTGTATATAAGGAATACCAGGTACTGATACCACTCGAGGAGCCGTATTGAAAAAGGAGCCTATGCCTAGAGGTAGATGAGACCCGAAATTTACTAGGCGGGACTAGGTCGGACAAGTCTTAACCCAACCAAAGCACCTCAAAGCCCAAAAACAAGCCCTAAACCCTAAATCTTAGGCTTTAAACCCTGAACCCTAAATTTTAGGCGTTAAGCCCTAAACCCTAAGTTTTAAACTTTGAACCCTAAACCATAAATTTTACACTTTAAACCCGAGCCCTAATTTTTAGGCTTTAAACCCGAAAGCCCTAACTTGAAGCATAGCACTACGCCCTGACAAACACTAAACCCTCTAAGGCTCCATGTGCCTTTAGGGGGTGCCCGTACGAGGGTTCCTCCAAGGGCTCCTATAGGGTTTACCGTTTAAGGTTCAGGGTTTTAAGGGGTGCCTTCAATGATTCAAGGGTTCCTTTAAGGGTTCCTTGAGGGGTTCCTAAAGGGGTACTATGAGGGTTTAGGGTTAAGGGTAGAAGGGTTCATGTGCCGAGTGTATCTACACTCAGGCCATAAGGTGCCTATAGAGGAAGCCCTCTAAGGCCTAAGTATGTACTATATGAGTACATGCATCCTCAAGGTATGCTACATGGGGTTTTTGCTTCGTTCACGGCCATACGGCTATAGAGTGTTTAAGAGGGTTTTAAGGTATACAGGTTTCATGAGGGGTTTACGGTGTAGAGTTCAAGGTTTTTTTGCAGGGTTTAGGAGGGGTTCAGGAAGATTTCATAGGTGAAATGATAATTACTATAGTTATAATAAGGAAACCGCAAAACAGTCTAGATAATAGTTTAGGTATACAAGTCCCAGACACCATATCCTCCACTATCCTTTCCATGTCGTCCAGGACCCTTTCCACCATCGGGCACGTGCTGCTGCGGGGACCCCTGTCCGCTGCTGGCCGAGGAGCCCGATGATATACTCCACCTTGCTGGCTTCGCAGCAGAAGGCTTGGAAGACATCTATGTTGGCCACTTCCGTGTGGAAGCTACGGAGCCATGCTTGCTCCTCTTCATCCTGGGTGGCACGGATGATCCGTGTGAGCTCGACCCGCAGCAGATTGAATGCATCTGTGGAGGTCGGTGTGGACGACATGGCCCGGAAGCTAGCCTGGAGGCGAAACACAGTTTTCTTGAGCTCGGTGCTTTCTTCATTGAGGTCTCAGTCTCCTGCACAAACTTTCGGAAAGAAGAAACTGCAGCAGCCAGCACAAAAGCTCGTGATGTGGCTTGGCATGTGTCTCGCCGCTGTCTTCCAGGACCCGTCTGCAAAGCTCGCATCAGAGGGGCCATACTTCGAACCCCAAACATCCCGGAGCCGACGCTGGAACTTTAGGTTCAAGCTCCGGTGTCATAACATAGCCCCTGGCCGTGGCCGATAAATGCTAAAGTCGAAGATGGCACATCTTGCTCATATGATCCCCTTATCGACGAAAAACGCAGTCTCAAACATGTATCTATTAAGAAACCAAAGTAATGAAGCTTCCCCAAATCTTACACAATTCTAAACCTAAACCCTGAACCCTAAGCCCTAAACAAAACAAGTAGCCCAAACCCCAGGTTGCTCTCAGTCAGTCAACAGCAGGCAGGGAGCTACCCAATACAGAGGCCTTCATGCTCGGATGTTTAGTTGTTCTGGTGTTTAAAGTTTTTTTTGCGTGGTTTATAGGGCGTTTCAGGGTTTTCTGAGAGGGCCTGGGTTATGGCAGAATAGTTGCGCTTGTTTTGTAAAGTGGGTGGCCATGTATTTTATGGGATGTTTAACACCCTAAGGGTCCATCTGCCCAGGTTTAGGGGTTAGGGTCTTTGGGCTTTTGGTTTAGGGTTTTGGGGTTGGGGTCGACTAAGGTACTGGGGGGCCGCAACAGGACTAAATATATACACCTAGACCCTGAAACCTAAACCGTAGTGTGTGTGTGTGTGTGAGTGCATCTATATATATATATATATATGCATAACGGGAATTTTGCCAATGGCAATAGCACTCAGAAGAATACTAATTGGAAAAGGGTTTCGGGCCCCGTATTTATCGTATATGGCATAATAAGGTGGTATGATAAGGATCACAAAGGAAATATATTGGTAATTAATAGCCGTTGGTCACTAAACCCCTTCCTTGAATGACAATGGCAATCAGCAATCGTTCTTGATCTGCAGGAGGCGGGAATTCTTAATCAGGGGCCATGGATCTGACCCTAAACTGTAATTCCTACATTAACCTCAGATAACCTACTTCTGAAGACTTTGATGAAGCCCGTATAAGGAACTCACGATAGGGAATGCAACAAATTCATGTTTTGCGTTGTTCAGGTAAGCCCTGAATCTAAACAGAAAGAGACCCGATGGCTCCTGCAACCCTTCGCCGCACACTCTAAAACCTGCTTTTGTGGGTGCCTGCATGTCCGCCGAAGTCGTTCTTGAAGTAGAAGAATTGGCGCACTGCAAAGTTTCATTACAGAGGGCCTTAATCAAGAGACTAGGGCTTAGGGCCATTAGGGTTGAGGGGATAGACTGGGCTTGGGGGTGCTATCATCTGCTTATAGGGGCAATAAGGCCAGATGATTCGTAATCATCCCAAACCCTGTGCTGCAGGCCCCTTAATATTTTAAATAGGGTTTTGGGGTTCCTCATTATAAAAAGAGTATAGCATACCCCAAACCCTATTCTACAATCATTTAGGACCCTACGTATCGGGGGACCGGGGCTTCCGGCTGGAGAAGGAAAGGTTGGGGGCGTTGAAGGCCACAGTGCTCAAGGGCTTTCGAGTTTTGGGTTTGGGTTGAGGGTTTTAGGGTTTAGGGTTTAGGGTTTAGAGGTTTTGGGAGTTACTTTGGTTCCTTCGAAGGGAATTGGGGGGGGAGCTCTTGGCTGGTTTATGGCCCATGGCTGTCTGTTTCGAGGGAGAGACTGGACGGGGTCAGCTTGCCCCACGGCTCAAAAAGCCCAAAAGCCTCATGTTCGTAACGGTTTAGGGTTCGGGGTTTGGGTGTAGGGTTTGGGTATAGGGTTTAGGGTTTAGGGCTTCGGGTTCAGGGTTCGGCTTTAGGCTTAGTACGGTCGTTGGGTCGAAAAAACTTAGCATATGAGTAGCTCTTTAAATTAGGGTCTTTTGTTGGATCCCCAATATAGTACGGCACCCTTATAAAAAGGACCCTAAAAGGGACCCCAATTTAAAGAACTACCGATATGAGTCGTTAGAGCCGTAGAGCTAGAGTCGTGCTTGGAAACAGGCCCGTTGCCTCTACCCTCCAATGTGGCGCGGCGGTTTTCGGTTAATCGGCGACTCTGCATAGGTTTAGGGTGTAGGGTACCAAGAAACGCAATTAAACAAACAAAAACACAAACTAGGTAAGCTCAATTGTTCAGAGTTCCGTGGTTAGAACTTAGAGATTTAGGACTTTGGGATTTGGCAAGTTCTTGAGTGCCCCAGCCGAAAGAGTACATGCATGTGCATGATGGTAGGATGCCAAAACCCCCAGCCTCCTTTGACACCCTGCTCGAGCAACACAAGGGCCAAGAACCCTACAAATTCTAAACTGCGAACAGTAACAGCATACCCGAACCCTAAAGCCTAAACCCTAAACGAAAAGAAAATCAACTCCATTACAACATCCTAACAAAACTTACGAGAACCTTGGAACCCTAAGTAGTTGTTGTAAGCACCGAGAGTTATCCTCTTCATGGGGAGGGCTTCATCATAGGTTTAGGGTTTAGGGCGGGTTTAGGGTTTAGGGTTTAGGGGTTTAGGGTTTAGGATTTGGGATAGAACCACGAATTCTTTCCAAACCCAACAATGTTCTACAGTCCTCCGAGCCACCTATCACGACGGAAAGTCATGGGCTTTCGTTGGCCGCAGGGCTACCGGGCGCTATTTCTTGGGGCTTTGGGGGTTGAGGGTTTTAGGGTTTTGGGTTTAGGGTGTCGTCTCAGCCCGAACCCTTACACGGCAAACCCCCAAAGGACCGCCAGCAACATCCCAGAACACCACTAACGGCCTCACCTCTCGGCACAAAACGTGCCCTACAGTAAACCCTACACCCAAAACCCTGAAGCCCTGAACCCTCAACCCGAAGACCCTAAAACCCTAAACCCTCCCACCACCAAAGCATGAGGTGCCAGCATCGCCCTGCCTGCCCCAGCTCCTGGCCAGGGAGAAGTCT